GAGAAGTGGTGCCTCGATGCGCACCCGGGATCCGAACCCGGGCCACCAGCATCGCAGCGCGCGCACTTAACCACCAAGCCACAGGGCCGGCCCATGGAGCCCATTTTAACTGGCCTACCCAGAGCAACCCACTTTACCAATGAGAGAACTTAAAGTAGTGTTTCCTACACTGTTCTGAGTTGTGGCAGACTTATGGACTTCCTGAGAGTTTGGGGAGAACAGGGGTGCCTGGGGAAGATGAAGTCGTATAATACTACTCTTCTCTATCCAGGTATCCAGGTGATCTACTTACCTGTCCATCAACCCCTCCTACCATCCATCTCTCCTTCTCTGTCTCACACACTCATACACACACACACACACACACTCCTTCCTTTTCTTACCCCCACACGATCACCTGTACTTAGAAAAACAGAGGAGCAAAATATCTTGATCTACAAGGCACACTTCCATAAGAGAACTAAGTGTCAAGAAACTTTACTTTAGAAAGTAATGACTTAAAGATGTGCAGAAATTCCAATTCTCAAAGTCTACCACTGATACTTCAGGTTTTAATCCTGACTTTTAGTAGGTGCCCATCCTCAAAGGTGCCATTGTGTTTCTTCAACATTTTCGTGATTTCTGCCAAGTCTATGTACTACCTAATCATTCACTTAAATGTGTTTCTATAATTTGGCAAATTTCCTTTAAATTGGCACAGTTATTAAAAAAACTCTAGCTTCATCCAAAGCAGTATCTGTGAAACTGAGTTTGATGTGATACTTATTTTTATTTCCTAAGGCACATTAAGACAAATATCTAACTATTAAAATCAAAAAGAGAGTAAAATTACCTTATGTACCACCCATGGTATACATATCACCCAGTGGAAAACTCTCATTTAGCTCATCAATCATTTGATTTCTGGAGCAGCACTAAATTACTCCTTATTAGAATTAGCTTTGAGCAACTCTAACAGAGCAGTGGTTCTTAATCCTGGCTGCACAAAAGCAGAATTCCTATGGAGCACTCTTTAAAACTCTCAATGTTGGGTCCCCCTCTTTGGGTGTGAGGTCTGGCCATCAGTAGTTTTATTTTTTATTTTATTTATTTATTTATTTTTTTCTCCCAAAGCCCCAGTAGGTAGTTGTACGTCATAGCTGCACATCCTTCTAGTTGCTGTATGTGGGATGCGGCCTCAGCACGGCCGGAGAAGTGGTGTGTCGGTGCGCGCCTGGGATCCGAATCTGGGCCGCCAGCAGCGGAACGCGCGCACTTAGCCGCTAAGCCACGGGGCCGGCCCATCATCAGTAGTTTTTAAAAGCCCCACATTATTCCAATGAACAAGCCAGGGCTGAGTACCACTGCTTTAACTGGAAATGTGAATTAAACCACCACTCACCCTAAATTCATTCAAATATGAGTATACTTGTATATTTCTAGTAGCAGGTCAATTAACATGTTTCTTCAGGTGCTGTCTTTTAGCCTATAAAACTTCAAGATTCTTTAGAGCCATAAATTAAAATGTAATTGTAACAGTGGAAAATAAATCTGACACAGCTAAAAGAAAAGTCTGGACTAAGATTAACAGAGCCAATTATAAAGGTTCAGAGCAGACTTCTGGTTCAGAAGAAAGCAGATTTGTGTAGTCATCTCTGATAGGTAATTTTTCAAGTTTTGTATCTCGGTATCTTTTTTTATAATTCAAGTGAGTTAGCTAAAGGCTAACGTTTGTTCACAGTTGGACTAGTGATTTCACCCGTACTTTATGGATCTAGGCAAAATAATGCAAGTAAACCTCTATTTAACATTTTGCTTCAACATCAGATCAAGTCAATTAGATATAGGAGGGAAGATCTAAAGTACATGGAAAAATAAATCGGTTAAATCAGAAACCTTAAATTGCTATATTTATTTTTCTTTATATGTCATTTCAAATAATAAATCCTGTTTTTGTCTTTCACAAATGAAAACTTCCCTTTAGAACTATATTTTTGAAAATGAGATTTCATAAAAGAAAAAGATTATCTTTGTTTAAGGTTTTATGAGGTTACTGGTGTATTCTGTGTTTGAAGAGAAATGAGTCAGCAAAAGATCAATATGTAAAAATGTCTTTTTATTAAAGGGTTCTTTTGCTAGATGAGGTACCTGAACTAGTTGTCTTTATTTGTCTAATTACTGAAACCACTGAGATTCTAAGAATTATGATAGGGAAAAAACTGGAAAAAAATAGTCTTACATATAAAATACATTACTTTTTCTATTAAAATTTTTTAATTTAAGTATGATTCCAATTATGTAAAAAATTATATACTGAGCAATTTCACTTGCTAAGAACTGATCTTAAAGTTATATGTACACAAATTCAAAAAGATAGATGTAAAACGATGTTCATAGCAGCAAAAAACAACAAACAATTTAAATGTCCATCAATAGAGTATTGGTTAAAAAAATTACACGTGTGGCTGGCCCAGTGGCGTAGCGGTTAAGTTCGTGTGTTCTGCTTGGGTGGCCTGGGGTTCCCCTGGTTCGGATCTGGGCATGGACCTATTCATGCTCATCAAGCCATGCTGAGGCGGTGTCCCACACAGAAGAGCTACAACTCTACAACTATGATACACAACTATGTACTGAGGCTTTGGGGAGAAAAAAGAAAAAGAGGAAGATTGGCAACAGATGTTAGTGCAGGGCCAATCTTCCTCAATAAAATAAAATAAAATAAAATCCCTGTTCTTCTTAAAAAAAAAAAATTTACATGCCACCGTACAATGAATACTAATGATGGCACATGATTTCACTGAGAGAGAGGTAGAGAAATAGTCACACACAGCAGCACCATCAAGCCCATTAGGTTGCTGACCAGGAAATCAGGGATAAGCAGAACTGGCTCTTCCTATGTCAGACGTGTAAAAATTGGAAGTTTGCAACAGTGTTTGCCCATATCCATATAAAACAGAGAAGTGCCTTCTTCAAATAAATAACCACAAATATTCAACCTTCTGGATTTAAATTTATACAACGTTATACTAGAAACATCAATCCAAATGATGTTGCATCTGACAAAATTTAGCCATAGACTGAATGGTGTCTACAAATTTTTAAAAAGGCATTTTATGTGATTCTCATTAGAAACAGTGATAGCAAACTAGAACCCTGCTGGCTACCCAGCCGTCCTTGAAGTCCATGGAGTGAGAATGCCCTCTAGGAGAAACTGCCTTAGAAAAGTTATTTCAGTAACTAATGCCCAAAATAAAGTCCAAAACTCTCTAGTTTATGATTAATTCTGAGCTATATTATGACTTTGGTATATTTTATTAAAAAGAAATCAATAATGTGGCAAAATCTCCAACACCTCAATCAAATATATCTAATTGCAAAATAGTGAAGGCAGTCTTAGTTTATAAATTTTTCAGAAGATCATTAAATAGTAACAGAGAAAGTAATTTCATATCCTCTCTATCTCTATGAGAGAATAGAATTACTTCATTTGTTTACCAGTTGGGTTGAAAACAAAGAACATACCCAGAGTAGAAGACAAACCAGGAAAATACCTCTCCATTAAAACACAAAGTTTTCTTTTATTCTTCCTAATGGCCTATCTAGTTATATAAGCAAAGAAAGCACATATCTAATAACTATAAAAAACTAAGTACTGCTATCTTTATTTTATTTTTTCCCCCCAAAGCCCCAGTGGATAGTTGTATGTCGTAGCTGCACATCCTTCTAGTTGCTGTATGCGGGACTCGGCCTCAGGACGAACGGAGAAGTGGTGCCTCGATGCGCACCCGGGATCCGAACCCGGGCCACCAGCATCGCAGCGCGCGCACTTAACCACCAAGCCACAGGGCCGGCCCAGTACTGCTATCTTTGACTGAAATATTTTCATTTTTCCTAACAGATTGAACATTATAGCTGTAATTCCTCATTTTCTGCACAAACTCATGTCATTTCAATTTCTTTTAATTTTTATATTTTATTATTTTTACTTTTCTTCTACACTAGGTTTTTTTCTTTACCTCCTTAATTTTGTTTTTTTTGTGTTCATAGTATATCAGTGAAAGCAAAAGAGGATTAAAACCTTGATGCTACATCATTTTAAAAGATTTAATACCAGTTATATCCAAATCTGACTCTCCTCTCAAAGGACTTACACACTATTTAAGAATAAATGATGGGATGCAGGACTTAAGATTCAAAACAAGAGTGCTCTGCATCTTCTCCGTTGTGCTCTGTCTTCTGTGCTTGTTAAACCTCTTTTTATGGGGCCGGCCCCGTGGCTTAGCGGTTAAGTGCGCGAGCTCGGCTACTGGCGGCCCGGTTTCGGATCCCAGGCGCGCCCTGACGCATCACTTCCCCGGCCGGGCTGAGGCCACATCCCACATACAGCAACTAGAAGGATGTGCAACTATGACGTACAACTATCTACTGGGGCTTTGGGGAGAAAAAGGAGGAGGATTGGCAATAGATGTTAGCTCAGAGCCAGTCTTCCTCAGCAAAAAGAGGAGGATTAGCACGGATGTTGGCTCAGGGCTGATCTTCCTCACCAAAAAAAAAAAATCTCTTTTTATGGACCTTAGCTCCACCTTCTATGTAATCTAATTGCGCACGGAAATAGACCCTTTTCTATTACCAGTCCTAGATCCCATAAACAAATTTAATCCATTCAATTTACCACATATATCTAGTTATTCCAGTACACTTTGAAAAAGGGGAAGTAGCACAAAATTATCTTGATTTAAATTTTGATTGGTAACTTAAACTAAAAGTGATTTTACTATATATTATATCAAATTTAATTCTCAAAATAACCCTCTGAGATATGAATTATTACAGAAGGGAAAACTGATGCACAGACAGGTTACATGACTTGCTCAAGATCATACAATGGCAAAGATGAGAAATGAAATCCTGTCTTTGTCTCCAAAGCCAGTACTCTTTCCACAACTCCATATTACCTCAAACTATTATTCAGGAAAAAACATTATTAACAATGACACTTATCTAGCAAAATTGAAGAATTCAACACCAAAATTATATTCCTTTACAACTTATGTGCAATAGTCTAATGTTTACAATATTAATGTATTGAAATGTTTATTATTCATAGTAACAAGTATGAACAAGGAAAGAAAAATTCTTCTCAAACACAAAACTAGAGAAACTAGTATAATGAACCTGATATATCCATCTTTCAACATCAACAATTACCAATATATGATATATTATCAATATGTTTCATCTCTACTTCCATCCTCACTCTCCACCCCAGGCTCTTTTGAAGTACATTCCAGACAGCATATGATTTCATTTGTAAATATTTTAGTATGTATCTCTAAAAGATGTCCTTTTCAAAAAAATATAATCACATTATCATACCTAAAAAAATTAACGGTAATTACTTAAAATCAATCGTCTACTTTTTTAAAATTTAGAAACTAATTCCATCTTACTATCAGTCTCTATTTCTCTCTACCTTCACAAAGAGGTTGAAAAATATTTCATAAAGCATTCTGATATCTCTCAGGAGGTTCCTTAGTGTCCAAAGAATTATTCCATTTCAACATTATGAACTCATTGTGCCATAGAAACTCCTCCAGGGATAGATGAGGACCTCCACAATGAAAGACCCAGATGGACAAAACATTACATGCTAAGTGCTTACCAGAGTAGAATAACAACTTATACTAGGCCATAACTCCTGACATGAGGGATACAAACTATTACCTGCAATTATACAACAATCCAATCAATATACAAAGTGCTGTCTTAGAGCACTGATGAAGCCAGAGATTTGTTTGGTATATTCTTACTAAAAATAGAGTTTTAAGTTTCTTTTGGTGAAGTCCTATAGCAATGTATAACTATGCTTGACCTATGCTGTATCATGGGAAAAGGACAAATCTAAGACCTTCCTACAGGCAGAGGTGCAATCTACTCCTCCTTATCTGCTGCTCTTAGAGTATTAAGAAGCATACTACTCTTGAAAACATTTAGCAAGACAGAAAAACACCTTTTGTTCTTCTTAGGTTCATCTGATGGTTATGTCCAATGGACATTCCATCAAATGTGGACTATGAGCCAGACATCATGGCTGCCCTAAGGGAGCTAATGGTCAAAGAAGGGAGTGGGGAGGGAGGAGGAGACAATTACAAATAAACAGGTACACTGAATTTTAATATAGTTGGTGTTAAGAAAGAGATATGCACAGGATGTTATGTGAGCACATGGAGGGCACACAGCCAAACTATGAAGTTTAAAAATGGTTTCCAGGAGAAGATAATCTCTGAGTTGAATCTCAGATATTTAGTAGAATTAGCTAAAACAAGAAAGTGAGAAGGGCATTCAAGTCATAGGGTATAGCATGAGCAAAGGCACTAAGACACGGAACAGCATGACATGTACAGGGAACCAGAGCTCAAAGTTCAAGGTGAGGACTGAAAGGAAGGACGAAGGAATAGGTAGAGGCCAGATAATGAAAGAACTTGTGTACTATGTTAAACTTGGCTCTGCCCCACAGGTGAGTAGGAGCTACCATAGGGATTAAGGAGAGGTTGCATGGTTAGCTCTGCTTTTAGACTGAGCCCTCTAGTGGCAAGTTTAAAAGATGGATTCCAAGAGGATAAGAATGGGAATGAAGGAAGTCTAGAGGCAAGACGATGGGGGCCTGAACTATAGCAGAGGTGGGGAGGATCCAGACCGGTAGATGAATCTAAACAACATTTAGGAGGCAAAACTGGCAAGACTTCACGCTAGATACAGACAGTGAGAAAGGAAGAGAGTATGTAAAATAACTCCCAGGCTTCTGGAACTATGCCCAAAAAGGTAGAGTGAGGGCATTTCATATATCAAAAGTTCATTTTAATTATATTGAATGTCTTCCATTTTCTTTTATTTGAAACTTTTTAATTTTTAATAGAAATGCCCTCACCTTACCTATACAAACTTGCTTGGCACCATGCCCTAACATGAACCATCTGCTCCAAAGGATAATAAATCTCCTCGTCATTTCTTAAACATGTGTTAAGACATCTAAGGTTTGGTAGCAAACACCTTCACTCATTAAAGATATAGAGATTGCTATAAGTTCTGATGTTTATTTAACTTATAACAGCTTTGATACAGAATCTATTAGTATCTAATCACTTTACTAATAATTATATATCTTCCATTCTAATATTTGTGTTTCTATTTATTTTACAATTTAGTGCAATGGCTAGAACTTCCAGAATAAATGTTAAATAATGATGATGCAAATATCCTTCCTTTGTCCCTAAATGTATCAGAAATATCATTAATATTTTATCACTAAATATTAAACTGGCAATTAGTTTATCATGTTTATAATTTTTATTTATTTATTTTTTTCCCCCACAGCCCCCGTAGATAGTTGTGTGTCATAGGTGCACATCCTTCTAGTTGCTCTATGTGGGACATGGCCTCAGCATGGCCGGAGAAGCGGTGCGTCAGTGCATGCCCGGGATCCGAACCCGGGCCGCCAGCAGCAGAGCGCACGCACTTAACCGCTAAGCCACGGGGCCGGCCCTAGTTTATCATGTTTAGAAAGTACTCACCCATTCCAATGTTAACACCCATTTTTTAAAAAGCTCATTTATAAAAGATGACCATTTAAAAGTTGTAACACAAAAATTAGGTCATTCAGCTGACCACACTACAAAATTGATCTTTTACCCCCAAAGATACAGAAATATACTTCATTTTTATATTGCATTATATAGAGTTATAAACTATAAAGTAACTATTCATAAACTCTTCCACAGATTAACAAACAAACTATAGTATATAACTGGTCTCAACTACCATTTTCTTACAGAAAGGATATAGAACTTAACCACAACAAAAAGAAAACATTATTTACAGCAGATACTAACTATGGCTGGTACATTTTGAATATTTTCAAATTTAAATTTGAAATGATCAGAGTTAAACACATTTATATAAATAAGGATTAAAAATCACCCACTAAGAAAGCAGTAGTCTTACCTGTAACGAACATGAAAAGAATGGTCTTCCCTCATGCTTATCAAATTTTCCTCCATGGAGTCATATTATAAGCTGAGTACAATACGAAATTATTTTATTTTGCCAATCCAGTTCTTTACAATGCAGAATTGTTGCAGAACATTGTCCGGTTAGTATATTAATGAGTTGGTGTTAATACATCCTAAGCTCCTGCTGCTTCTTTATTAATAATGAAAGGAGGTCAATGTCAGACAGCTTAAAAGTTCAAAATGTGTCCCAATCCTTGCATCTGTGGCCCTTTCAGCAGCACTTCAGCAACATCTGCAAAAGGAATACAAGATGCTTTGCTTGAAGTCCTATTTTCAAAGAATAACCTAAAGTAATTCCAAGCTGTACATAATCACACAGGTAAGTCCACAGACTGCTGTCATGTCAATCACAGGAGAAAAACAGCAGAGGGCTTAACTGTCACCATGAACCTTCTAAACAAGGATGTGAAGTATGAGATTTATTTGAGAACTGTACTTTAATTTTTTAAATTGGTTTGAAATATAATAATTTTATGTAATATTTTCTATTATAAACAAAGAAGAATATTATGATATTAGTATCTAAAATCAAAACTTTGATACTTCAAGCTTTTAAAAACTGCTATTAACAAGTAAAATGAAAATTCAATAATTATGTGAACAAGTCAATTCTAAACTGTACATTTATTTCTTCAAAGAAGATACCTGTGCTGATAATTAGGTTATACTTGTGTTTATTTGCTCTCAAAGTATATTCTATTTTTAAACTGTTTAAGGTCTTTAAAATGTTTTTATCAATACTGAGTAGGTACAAAAGAAATTTACGAAATATGTGTAAGGTAGAATGACACAACAAGCATTTATATAACACCACCCAGTTTAAGATAAAGAACATTATCACTGCCTTTGAAGTCTCCTGGGTGCCTCAACCTAACCCATCACCTTCCTTTCCCCTCTAAGGTGATCTCTAAACTGAATTTTGTCATTATTCTCTTGTTTGTCTTTATAACTTTGCCACAAATGTCTGCATAGGCCTAAATAATGTATCATTTTGTTTTGTATGGTTTTGCTTAACATCATGTTTCTGAGATTCATCTCACTTGTTGCACATAGCTACAATTTGCATATTTTTATTGCTATATCATATTCCATTGTATGCCAAATGTATTTTTCATTCTGTTGATGGGCAATTGGATTGTAATTTTTGGATTTTTGTTTTTGCTACCATTAAAAGTATTGATATGAACACTGAAATTAATAACCCACATACTGGTTAAACAGCACAGCAGATAAGCTAAAGAGAGAATGAGGGAACTACAAGAATATCTGAAGAAATTATCCAGACACACACAAATAAAGAGATGAAAAATACTCAAGAGCAGTCCAGATAAAAGGAAGACAAAATGACCTTGGTCTAATCAGAGTACCAGAAGGAAAAATAGAAAGAGGACTAAAGGCAAAATCTTCAGTGATAAAGACAGAATTTTTCAGAATTGAAGACAGACATGAATTAGCAGATTGAAGAAGCAAACTAAATCCTAAACAGGATAAATAAAAATGAATCCATACCCAGATATATCACAGAGAAACTACAGACCATCAGATATAAACTATAACCTTTAAGGTAACAGTTAAGAGAGACAAATAAGATAAGATTAAGATATCTGTGTGTGTATATAAATAAATTAATAGACACAATTAATATACATATAAATTAATAGACAGAATTATAAAGTCCTGGTATCTCAGTGTTATAAACAACCCTATAGGTCAGTTAGTTCAACATTTACTACAGCATTCCCAGAAAGGTCATAAGGCAGCTAAGCCTAATTTTGAATAGTCCTTTTAGTAAATTGTTCCGTACTTTGAGCAATCTTTCCATTTTGACCCATTTCTTCCTTCTGCTGCCGTCCAATAAAGCCTAATTCCTCTTCCACATAACATCTTTTTAAGTATTTCAGTTATAACATAAACTAGACTCTAAATAATACACACCCACTGCCTTGTTAATTAAGTACAGTTAGAGAGAGGTTAGCAGGGAACAGAGTAGTCAGGACCTTTGAGGAGGAGGAAGATGGAAGGTGGAAAAGAGCCACCTTGGGAATATTGACAAGCTTCCTAAAGGAAATGAGGTTTTCACATCAATAACCAGTTTTGAACATAAGAAACACAAAACAGTATTCCTCTTATCCCGTCCCTTGGCCAACAAATGAAGCGGTGTCTTAATAAAGGATGAAAAGATAGGTAGCAGCTATTAATCCAACAAATCTTCTGTTTTCCTTTTGTTCAGAATTCCATTGTGCCTTGTTTTTCCTTAATAAAAAACACTGTTGCGGGAATTAGTGTAGATATTCATAGCAATAGCTCCAAAGTACACCTAGATTACACAGCAGCTAAACTGTCAAGCAAGCTATCTTCCACTATCTACTTTGAGGTTTAGGCTGTAATTTATAAAATGGGGCAGAAGGTGAGGTATTAGAATTAATTTAACTTATAATTAAATTAAATTATAATTGAATTGAAATATTTTTTCATCCATGAGATTATAATGAAATTCCAAATTTTACCAATCATTTAAAAATATGTTAACTTCGTACTTATTAAAATGTAAACATGTAGTCAAATTACCAATATATATACATGGCGTTATAAAATAGCTTACTTGATTAAGACTGCATAGAGAACCACTTTAAAAATAAATAAATAAGAAGACAAGAGAATGTTATTCACCATTTTACTAACGGCAATTTATAATATGGTTTTACTATTCTCAAAAGAAGAGTATCCCCAAAAAAGTCACTCCTACATTACAATCTCCATAACAATTAAGTAGCATTTCTCATCTTACAATTATTCACTGAACAAACAAGCAATTCTTGATTCAATGATTCACGTTATAAGAACTCTCTAACCAATTTAGTAACAAGGTGTTCATTCATGCTTCACATTACCTGGAGTTAACAAACGCACTTCATAGTTTAACACATAATTCATACATTACTAGTGTAACACTAATAAAATTTGCAACAAACATTAAATTATGAATTGTTCATTAGAATAAGAAAATTTAATGACAGGACCAGGAAATGGAATGGAAATTATAGGTTTGAAAGAATATTAAGAAGTCATTAAGTTTAACCTCCAACCTCCATTTAGATTTATAATTTGCAGGGAACACACATGTCCTTAATAGCATCTCCCAGGTTTTAACAAACAATGCTCCAAAAACCTCACTGCTAACAAAATTGTTAGCTCACACTATCTTTTGGTCTGACCATAGAGAAATACAGAGAAGCAATAATTTTTTTCCATATCCTAGAAACTGATAGAAACATACAGAAAAATCAACTAGTACCTGACTCTGATTGCCTCACGTTTAATTTCCTAATTAGGAAGTCAAAATAGGTAGACTCCCATTATACAGCTAGTGGACTTCTAGGCACTGTCCAAGGTTGCAATCAGAATAAACAATAAATCCTAGCCCTCTTTATTCCATTAGCAGTAAAATGTTTACAACTAGGTGATGGAGAAAAATAAAGGATAGACAGTTACATTTATATGTTTTGTCCTTCTTTCAATTTATCTAAACTATCTACTCTCTACTACAACTTAAATGCCAGTAACTTTTGGTCCGATTCTTTAAGTATCTTTATAAAGGGTAACACCCATCAGGCAATAAATATAACTTACTTCTCTTGCCTCCAGGATAGATAATCTAAATTCTTTAAACTTTTCTTCTCCTAATAATTCCTTCTAAGGTACAATACTCAAATTCTCCAGACCCCTTTCAGTTGTAATGTTTCAAGTCAGATACAGGAGCCCTTTATCAATTTGAGCAGGGATAAATAATGGGGAAGAATCAAGAACACATTTAAAATGAAATGAATCAAGAACACATTTAATTTCATGTTAGAATTCAGGGTACAGGTTATAGTAACAAATACACATCCTAGGAATAATGAGGGTAATAAAGCAGGATGCCAAAACAGCCACTTCTAAAATCAACTCAAGTAACTACCCTAGGTAAACTAGTTATTTTCTGTCAAATTATGTATCTGTAAGCAGGCACTAATTTATTTTTAGATGGACTAAATATGGCTTGTCACCTAATCCAAACTTCTAATTACACTTTATCTGAAAGATATAGTGGAAACCAGATGGCAAGTATAAGGAACAATACTTGCATAATTAAGAGCAGGAAGGTAAAAGCAGGAAGTTTCCACAGAAGAATATGAGAAGAGTGTAAGAAAAGGCAAAGGGTGTAGTCCAACAGAGAGAAGTCCAAAGAGAGGGAAGGTTCAGAGCTTGATTTTAGTGTGGCAGGTGTTGAGGAGCCAATTAAAGGCAAGAAAAATTATTCTGACATCAGAATACATGACTGAGGTGTGAAATTAGAACCTAAAGCAAGGGAAGTCAGGCTCAAGAAATGCTGGGTACTTAACTAAGCAATCTGGCTAAGAGTACCCAGAGAAAAATGGAAGCAATGCCCACTGACTAGACGTTGAGAGGCAAAGGTCAAGCAGGAACAGAGAGCTCACAAGATGGCCAATTTTGAGGACAGGTGGAACAGCAGCAATAGGCACGGTGACTGAAAAATTGGATAGCAAGAGTGATACTTCAGAGAGGAGAAAATGGAATACTTATATTAAACTTGTGCTTGGTAAAGTGCTATATGTTCACCAACAAGAGTTGAAAGAAAAAGAAAGATATCAAGCTTGAGATAACTTTAAATCAGATAAAATTTGATACACAGGAAAGGATCTGGGGGAGAAAACACTGAATGACTGATATTTTTGAATTTTTGTACATATTTAAAACTAAAATTTTTTTAAAGTACCAATGAAAACTAAAACTAGTTAACACCGCAATAGGTCAGTGGCAAAATTAAAGAGAAATTGCAATAGGAGAAAAAAATTAAAGCAATGCATGAAAGTTCTGATTCTTCATTCAACATACTCAATCTCTAAACCAATAATATAAATCAAACTGTTGCATAATACTACTGTCAGCTAAAGATAACTCAAGACTATATGTGTGTGTGTATTTATTTCTATCTGTATCTATCTATAGTGTTGAACACAGTTTTAGTGTTAACTGATAATCGTCATACATATCAAATGTAAATTACTTTACACAATCCCAAATTAATAAAATAAACAATCATATTGCTTAGTTAAGAAGATCATTCTATTCTCTATCATTCCGGAGAAATGAGAATTTACTACAAATTATGCTGTAAAAACTGTATCAATGAAGTTTTCCTTAAGCAAATATATAATCCTAAAGTATGTACTCCAATTAAGGTTGTCTTAATTTATCACTAATCTTTAAGTTTGCAACAATCAATGTTAGTCTGTGAGATGTAAAGCCAAGTTACTTTAGAAAACAAGTGTAACTAACAGTATAACTGCTAACAAAACACAAATTTCATTATAAAAAACTTTCTGATAAACTGTTTGTGACTATCAATTAGCTAAGCAAAAGGACAGATTGGAAAAATGGTTCTAGGCTCTAATAAATCTATATCTTAAAGGCACACCACCAGTCAGAAGGGTTCCCAAGCGTAGTATCTGAAATTAATTCTCATAGGTCATTATGAAAGATATCAAATAGATGCAGAGTAAAGGCACTATTAATTTCAGACTCTCATTTTCATTCTTGGCAGCTTTAAAAAAAAAATTCAGGTCCAGAGCTGTGAACATTAAAAATGTACAACAATGAGTGCAACCATTTCAGAGTAGTATAATCCAAAAACAATTTTAGTAAGAAAAAATAAGAATTCCTTTTCATGTTTTTGAATGTTTACACCTAAAATCTCACCATTCTAAACAACTAAACTATATATAAACTGCCTTTATTGGTGATGAACATTTGCATTTTTATCCATCACATAAAGCTAAAGGACTCCTACAAATTATGTTCCCTGGATAAGCAAAATACTCATAAAAGCCATATATGAAATTTCAAATTAGATAAATACTGAAACAAAATGTAATCTAGAAGAAAGAGATTTGAATATTTCAAGGCTTCATCTTAGCGTTGTTAAACAGTGAGAAAGGACCAAGCGTATGAGTCTAGTGACATGGAAAATGCTGAATGCTTGTAGTTCAACAGTGGTTTCCAGCAGTCTCCACACAAAGCACTATGGCTATCATAATTACTACACGAGCAGCCTCTTAATGTCTTAAGGTTTGGTAGCCCGTGATAAATCAGGAAGAAGTTGAACTGAATATTTTTCTAAAGGGTGATAAACTAGAAAGGGGCTCTATTTTTAGATTATACATGGAATAAATGTGAATTACGCCAGTGACTACACTAATCATTAAAACTGGTGTTTTGTAATTACAATACTCAGTGATTACAATTCAATAGAGAATGAAGCAGTTGCTTAAAAATTTCAAGGACAAAAGGAAGATTACTTTCATGCAACATCCTAATCTTGGTTACCTTTTTCTCTGCAAAGCAGTTACTGAATCAAAACTCCTAGTCCAACAAGATTAGTTATTTATATTTAAGAATATAAATATGTTTGACTAAAGGAAAAAGATCTTATATATGTTCATTAGAATAAAATTAGTATTTTTCTCCCTATAATTTGGTTTTATTTCTCATCAAACTGAAACCCAGAGTTTACAAATAATGTTAATTTTCCCTTCTATAAAATAATTTTAAATAGAGATGGTCCTTTTAATCCATTAGTAAAATTAATAACCTTTTGAAAGAGGTTCAATTAGACATTTGCATAAGAAAAATGATTTCTCGTTAATTATTATAAACATAAAATTGGATACATAAAAGTATTATTATATTGAGGTTATAGAAAACACAATGATGACTTAAAAAAAGAAGACATTCTGAATTTTAACAACTCAAATTATATTTTCAGTGCTTCCCAATGATAACTCAGGTTATAAGACCAGGAGATCACAAGAAAATGTCTGCAATCCAAAAACAGCTATGATTCACACTAAGTCCAATTTTTACAAATAAAACCCCTAAATATATATATTACTCCTTGCCCTTTCTGATCTGTGATCTTTTTATCAATCAATAAATATATATGTTTATTTGTTTTTATTTTTTTAGGGCTTATACAAATTACTGGACAAAAGCGATGCAATTAACAGGAGCTCAAAGAAGTAAATTCAAAATAAATAGCCTTATGAAGACATTACTATGCCAGAAAAAAAAGAGAAATACTTGTTAGTTAACAATGGAGAGAACACAACTTTGAGAAAAACTGGTTACCAAGTCACCAAGTCGCCATTTATTACTACCATTGTTGGTCAGCCATCAGCTTAAACCAATTAATACATATATGAAAAACTCAACAGTTAAGTAGAAAAGTGGTCCTTTCTACTGAGCATTGTTCTTGAGTTAGTAAATGACAATAAATCAGTTCTCTTAACAGAAGGACTTTAAAAAGGCAAAACTGGTTTCAAACACAATTTTAAGCAGAAATAAATCCCAAATGCAAAAGGATTATAAATGCCTAAAGAGGATCCCTAGAGACTTTGAATTCAGAATTCTTCATAGGAAATATAACTCCGTCTTCTCCTTCCAAAAGTTACCACCATTCTGTGGAAAAGTTCAATTCAGTAATGTTATGAGATGATACGGGAAGAATAATTCTAAGTAAAAAGGACGAAGGACAGCTTTGAGGAAGCAAGGAAATCTGTACTGCATCTTGCAGGATGGGTAGACCTTATTAGGCAAACGGAGAAAAGGCAATTCCAGCACGGGGAAATGGCTCAAGCCAAGCAAGGGGATGGGAATGCACAGAATGCACGTGTGCCAGGACAAGCACACTGGGTCAGGAGTAGAGAAAGAGAAGTCCAAGAACGCACTAAACTGTGAGGGACTCTGAATACGTACATGGCTGAAGCACATATTCAACCCTATATTACATAATGAGGAACGTTGTAATTTTCTCAACAAAGGAATAGCAAAGTTAGATCTGTGTTAGGAAGATAAACTGTCAGCAACATATGGGGCAGGACAGGGAGACAGATGAAAGATACTGTAAAAACTCCAGCAGCAACTACTGCATAGGAAGCCTTCTCTTGTCATCTCACAACACCAAGCAAATTGCTTTGCACATAATCGATGTCCAACAAACTTTTTTGATTTCTTGCCCGTAAAGAAGATAAAAACTATGAAGCGGCAAAGAATCCTATAATAATGAGAAAACCGGCCTTTAGTACGTTTCTGCTCCACAGTAAAGAATATATTCATATTCATGTAAATAACTCAGGAAAGTCTTACTCTTAATTTTTTACTGTTTTTATAAAGATGATTAAAAGGATTTGTGATTTATAAGGTATTGAAAGGAAGACAGAAGTCCTAAACTAAGGACTGAAATATTTCTGCATAGTTCACAACAAGACACAGCACCTACAGGCATCTTAAAAGTAGGATTATGTCCTTACAAATGGAATCCAGAGACCTGGAGGAGATTTAAACAAACACACAGACGCGATACAGCATGTGCTTTGGGATCAGGCCACGGTTTGAAGCCCGGCACAGTAACTTAGTTATATGATCTTGAGCTACACTCTCAGAGTTGGTTTGGGCATAATGATACTTATCCAACACCAACATGTGTTGTGATGATGGGAGATCTGATTTATAAAGCACCTAACCCAATGCCTGGCTCTGGTACTTAACGAAAGTACTCAAAGTATAGTAGCAATAATAATAATAGCTATTATTATTATTATAAAAAAGAACATGTCTATTAGAATAGATTTAGGATAGTCTAAATCTATACCAGATTTTCAATTTTAAAATTCCAGAGATTACTAATTACAAAATTTTATCTTTTAGGTAAATCTTAGAAATATTTTATCCTTAAGAACGAGGCCATTTTAAAAACGACTATATCCTATCTGTGTTACAATTAGCCTAAGTACCAAGTCTGAGATTTATATTAAAATATAATATTTGTAACACTGCATGTCTGATTGAATAACAGAAGAAAATACACCTAAACTGCTTATCTAGCCAAAGAGGATTAGGAGGAAATGCCTCTCAACAATATCACACAACTTTTTACTTTGTATCCGCTCCACTCCTTACATTGTAAAGAACAGCCTGAGAAAGAGTTTGTCAGAACGAATCCACGGTAAGGTGTAAAGAAGAGTAGGTATGAGACTGTCCCTCAGCCCCTGAGCCCTCACACACATCCATGTCAACCAACAGTGATCTGCTGCTTACTCAGTTCTAAAAATCAACCACAGTTGCTTCTTGAAAAGTGACAATTCAAGCAAAAGTGGTATTTATCAGAGGTAATCACCCTGGCGGCTATCAGGCTGGAAATCTTTCGCGCACCATGCTAAAGTGGCAGCCTGAAACTTCAGCTCGGTCGGTACATCAACCTCCCACACCCACGACGAGAGACTCCAACACAAGCCGAAGAAAGCAGAGCCAAGAGCCTACTTCGTTTAACTCCACGGTAGGGTTTAATTATGCATTAAGGCAAATAAAATTTCCATCCTTACTCCTATTCTTTAACGGAGTTCAAATGATACTAGTTAAAATGATCTAACTGGTTACCATCAAAACAAGGAAATTACACATTTTCCACTTTTTACTATTCGAAGATATTCTATAGGTTTTCAGCAAAGGGCTTTCTTAACATTCCATGCTTACTAAAACTTTTTGCAGCAACTACCAATTTTTATGGTAAATCGACAGGTTGGTGTCCGAAAGAGCATGAATTTAAATATTGTAAACGCAGGTGTTTGACAAAAACTGCCTGGTTTAGACAGCAGCGCACGACTACAAGTGACTGCAATCTGCCTGGGGTCTAATTCCACAGGGATTCCGATTTTTCAGGTCTGTTACTCACATTGAGAATACGTGACACATCACTGTATCCTAATATACTTTTTATTAAAAAAATACTAGGGAACGAGGCTCGTAAGATTTACTCTCATTTTAAAACGTCCACCAGAAAGCAGCTGAGCGCTCGTCCTGGACGCAGCTGTCCCTCATCCCGAGTTTCTGGTTTCTCCACTCGCGTCCCCGCCGACCACCCCCGGCTCCTCCCGCCCCGAACAAAGGCGGTCGCCCCCAGACCCTGGACACAGAGCCCGTCCCACACACGCCCCCTCCCTGTCACCTCCCGCCGCGGGGCGCCCTCAAACGCCCCTCAGAACTCACCTCCCGCGGGCCGGCGCGTCCTGGGAGCGCGGCGGACGCGTCGCTTAGCAACCCAGCGGGTCTTTGTGAGGTCGGAGGCGCCCTGCCCCTGCACGGGCAGCTCCTCGGGCTCGGGATGTAGCTCCAGGCACGCATGCCCGCCCTCTCGGAGCGCGGCGGACGCGGCGAAGCTGCAGCAGCGGCCGCCTCGGGCGACGGGCGGGCGGCGGCAGCCCCTCCACCAGGCGTGTCAGCTCGCCACGGGCGCCTCGCCAGGCAGGGGCACCGCGGGAGGCCGGCGCGCGCCCCCCGACCCGGCCCCCGGCGGGTCACGTGGGCCAGACCTCCCTGGACTCGCCTCGCCTCCCGACACGTCCCACCGCCAACCAGGGGTCCGCAGCGCCGCCCGCTCTTCACCGCTCCCCTCCTCTGCGCCTGCGCCCCGGCTCCAGTCGCTCACATTCAAACAGACACCGCCCCGCGACTTTCGGACCCGCCAATGGCCGGCGGTGGGGCGGGGCGCGGCGATCGTCCCCGCGCGGCCTCCGCCGTCCTGGGTGGGTGGGGTTCTGCGTGTCAGGCTGAGGGGAGCGTTGGGTGGTTCGGTCCTCCGCTGCTCCGGGATCTGCCCTCCAGCACCAAATTGAAGTTTCTTTCCCGTCGTCGTCTTTGTTCTTCAGACACTGAAGGGTGGAGCGATAAATATCGTCCAGAAAGAGGTCTTCGGAGGGGCTCTTGTCCAGACCCCTTGAAAAGACGGGAGCCCAAAACCAGTGCCTCCTGCCCTTAGGACTCGGTCCTGGCCCAGAGAATGAGTATCCCAAGCGGCATATGCGGGATGTTTCAGAAAAAGAGGGCTCTGTGAAAGGAACAGAGGGACCCGTGTGGAGGTCTGAACAAGGCAGCCTCAGTTCTTGAGGCTGTGTCACAGTTCTGGCGTTTCCAGCTGTTAAAAAAGCAAACTTCTGTTGACTGCAGAATCGCTGGTTCCCAGCAAAATTGGGTAGCCGTTTTACTCAGTTTCAGGCAGCTACATTCCAAATACACTGGGAAGAATAAGTTTTATTTCCATTCACTTCCTCTCCATATCGAGTTAACAAAAAATAGATCTCAGTTTGTTTTTCTCAAAAATTCCAAGACTATTGTCTCTCTGGGCTACAGAATTTGATGAATTTAATTAGCTTATTTCTCAGGTAGGTATTTCTCCACTGAAATGAAAGTTAAGTGTTTCTACAGGCTTAAGGATATATTAAAGAAACCCTCGGTTTCAATCTCTCTGTGAATGATGGCCACAACCAGTGATCCAAGCAGCCTTTCTCTTATTGGGAACATGTTATGGCAAATTGGTTAAAATAGCTTTGGCATCAAACTAGACCTGGAATTTGAGTTCCTTCTCTGCCACTTACTGGCTGGTTGACCTTGAATGAGTTATTTATCTTCTTTAGCCTTAGTTTCCTCAGTTGTAAAATATAGATAATAAGTCCTCTTCTAATAAGGGTGGTTGTGATGCTTCAGTGATGTAAACATTAAGTGGTTAGCATAGTGCCTGACTGCTCAATAAATGGTGCCTGTTGTTAGCAACAACTACCTTTAGTAGCAGGTTCTTATAAACAACTGAATCAGCTGGCTGTACTATTCAGAGTTAGGTATTATAATTCCTTCTTACTCATAAATTCTTTTTTGGGTGTTAATATGAAAGCCACAAAGGAAGTACAATATATCAAATTCAACATGTTCAAAATGAATCATTTCCTCCCTGCAAATCTTCTCTTACAGTGACTTTCTATCATTGATATTGATCTCCAGCTTCCCAATTACTCAAATTAAATTATCTTTTAAAAGGCATAAATCAGATTATGTCCCTCTCCTACTTGAAAATCTTCAGTGACTTCTCATTTGATTTAAAATAAAATCTAGGGCCGGCCCCGTGGCTTAGCGGTTAAGTGCGCGCGCTCCGCCGCTGGCGGCCCGGGTTCGGATCCCGGGCGAGCACTGACACACCGCTTCTCCGGCCATGCTGAGGCCGCGTCCCACATACAGAAACTAGAATGGATGTGCAACTACGACATACAACTATCTACCGGGGCTTTGGGGGAAAAATAAATAAATAAAATCTTTAAAAAAATAAAATAAAATCTAAATTCCCTACCATGGCCCCCAGAGCCCTAAGTCATCTTGCCCTGCCCACCTCTCTACTCTCCTTTATTTCCCTCTCCACCTGGCTCACTCTAAGTATACAAGACATTCTTCAGGCCCTAGAACAGACCAAGCCTCAGGGCCTTCTCTCTGGCAGTTCCCTCTCCTTAGATTTTTTTTCCCCAAGCTCTTTAAATAGCTGCCTTCTTTTCATCCTTCAGCTTATCCATTGCAGTATTTAGCAAGTATTTATTTAAGTTTCTGCTATGTGTCAGGAACTGTTCTAGGTGCTGGGAATATAGTAGTGAGCAAGACAGAACACAACCCCTGATATCATGGAGTTTAATAAAAATAAACAACGAGAAAAATATTAGGTTGTGATAGGTACCATGCAGAGAATTCAAAGTAGGATTATGTGAGAGTGAATACTGAATGACTGAATGACTACTTTAGATTGAGGGTCAAGGTAAGAAAGGCCACTTTGAGAAGATGGTGTCAAATTGAGATTTGAATTACACAAGGAGCAGCTAGCCTTCAAGCAAAGCTCAGGAAGACCACATTAAGTAAAGAAAACAGCTAATGCAAAGTCCTGTGAGGACAAGCCTTGTGGGTTTGAGAAACTGGAATAAGGCCACTGTGGCTTAAGTGAAGTGAGGGAGAGAAAAACATACAAGATGAAGTCACACCAGATCATGCAGGCCTCTGTAAGCCAGGATAATGAGCTCAGGCCTTATTTTCTAAATTTTATAATAGCCAGTGGAAGATTATAAACATAGGAGTAACTTCATCTGATATATATATAT